AAAAAAAAAAAAAAAAAAAAAAATTTGACGAATCACAGCTCGCCACGTGGCGAACCCGTGATGAACCGGGTTCACCACGACGAACCCACGCGCGACGGGTTCATCACTGTTCCTCTCGGAAAACGTGTAAACTTCCCCTTAGAACCCTTAATGGGGATGCTCTAAGAGGAAACTCACTGTTTCTTTAATAATTGTTCGAAAGAAAAAAAAAATAAAAGAAGAACACACCACAAACTTGAAAAGTTATTTCGGTTTACAAGCAGTACACTTGGGATTAAAAATGTATGCTTTTTCGATTGTACTATTTAGATTTGGACTTACACATGTTTTCTTTTGTAAGTACATTAAGTCATTAACTGATTATTTTCATATCAATTAGCCTTATTTTCCAATCATGTTTGAATTTCTAGGCGATACATGTTTTTTAATTAATACTTACAAAATTAAAGGTAACTTTTTACAATCGATCAATCGGATTACATATCTGATACCCATTCATATCATATCTAATTAAAGATGATATATCGCTATTGTATGATATCGTTGAATAACCAAAGCGTGTGTAACCAAACTTTCAACAAAACAACAGCTTCCATAAAGTTGGAAGACAAACATATACGGTGGAGAAAAGACCAAAAAGACTTGACATGGAACTAGAGTCTGGTTGGTTCTCTATGACAACATAAGTTTTAGGACAACAGGTAATTGAGGTTTTATTAGATCTTTCATAACCAGAAGATCTCCTACAAGACAAGTTCATACTTAATCGTAGCGAAATCGGTCCCAAGAAGTGTAAAAGTCTTTAGCAAGATGAACCTAAAATCGATCATGATCCGACGATTACGGATCTCAACAAAGCTAGGGACGAAATAAAAAGGAACATAAACAACAGTTGTATTTTCCAAAGTAAAAGAAACAGATATATATATCCTGAGAAGTACCCAGAAACGATGGAAGTAAAACAGATCAGGCAGGTTGGACTTGGGCAGAGTTGGTTGCAGGTGTGGTCTTTGAAAGGTTTGGGATATACTTCCAGCAGCGTTTGTGAACACCACTTATCTTCTTTGGAGCTTCCGCAGCTCGCAACCCTGCATTTTTGAGATACACCCATGTATGTATATATGTTAGTCACATCATATGGAAGCTGCATAAACACTAACGCAAGAAATATACAAAAACTGAGAACTTTAAAAGACAAATGCAATCAAGAAGACACCATCGAGTTCCATATTAACTTTACTTCATATAGATATACATATAAACAGAACAAAAACTCACCATCTTTGTGAACAATGCCCCACGCTTTTCCATGCCTACCATCCTGAGAATCAAATAACAAAACCCTAATCAGCTAAACAAAAATCACAACGATCTTGTTGATGTAACAAACATTTTGTCAGTATACAGTGAGTAAAATGCCCAGACTTTTAAAACCTTCTATCAAACATTGAATAATGAAATTAAACATAACCAGAACGTTAAGACAAGAATCCAACCGTTTTACGACAGATGAAAGTGAAAATGAACAAAACCCATAAAAAAAAAAGACAGAACCTTGTAGAGATTGATCTTAGTGATTTCGTAAGAGATTCCGTTCCAGTGAGCTTTAGCAATATGATATCCAATTCCCCAATTGGGTAAGAATTGAGAGACTTCGAACAGACTCTTCTTCTTCCTTCGTTTAGGTTTTATCGAATCGGAGCTGCTACGGTTTTCCGTCGACGGAGATGCCGCCGCCGGCGCAGAGAAATTCCTCAGGAGATTGATAGATAGTTTGAAAGAACCGAAGGTCTCGGTTCTGGAGATTGCTCTGTTCATAAGGGTCGTCGCCATAGTATCTCTCTCTAGTCCCTATGTTCCGTCACTGATCGGCGACTGAGGTTTTAGGAGAAAGGAAAGAGCCACGAGTTTTTGGTTTAATTCATAAATTGAACCATTATTATCACATAAATTACAATTTGACCCCTATACTTCTGCATTTGACTAATTTTGCTATGAATAATTTGATAACATTTGTGTAATAACGAAAAGATTCTTAATTGTAGATTAATTAAGAACTATAAATAATTTAAATAAATTTTCTATAATTATGTACGTTACTTAACTAATCATAAAAATATTGTTTCAAGGTTTATGGAGGATATATTGTTCTTATTCATACGTTTGAACAGAAAAAAAAAAGAAAGGCTAGATATGGCACAACACCAGAAAGCACAAACTCCAATTTTGGTAAAATTTGTATGGGAAAGACGTGGAACATGCACAACCTACTAATTGAAGAGTAGGAATGAATAACAAGTATAATTGATCTGGTACATAAGCTGTGAGTGTGAGACATGTAAATTACATGGTTAGCAGTATGTGAGTATGACAAGGGTTGCGTTGGGACTGAACAATAAATAAAATTAAAAGAAATCAAGATTTCATTTTTTTTGGTGTTAAAAAAAAAAATTATGCATCCACTTTCCTCAGGAATGAAAACCTTGTATACCAGACGGGAGCTCTTCTGTTTCATTGTGTAAAAATGTGCTTGGTCACATATAAACTGTTTCTTTATCAGGTTAACTGTCAAAATCAAGGACTCTCGTAACTTGGCATCTACAAACGAACTTGAAGTTGAAGCGCTTACTTACTTTACTTTATGCAGATATTTTGACACCCTAGTTCATATGGACATGTAATTTTGTGCGACCACAGCATACCAACAGCATTTAAGTATATGTCATGAAAACTAATGCAATGCAAGTTGAAAATATGAAGAGAAATCCATGTTCACTAGATAATGAAAACCTTAACAAAAGGCTATAACTACAAAGTATGGAGATACAAGAAGGAAACATAAAATCATAACTCAAACTGCATAAAGTCTGATATGATTGTTCTCGAATAAAGAAGTCTGATATAATAGTTTTTGGCCAAGTTATTGGAACGATATTCCTCTCTCTATCCTAAACCTTTGAATTTGCCTTCTTCATTTTTGTTGTGATAATTAAGAAGAATCCACATAAGCCCTCGCAGATAAACCAAACAAACAAACAAAAAAATGCATGTCAACTTAGAAGTTCATTATAGCTTGATATAGAATAGCTTTAAAAGAGACTTACATTGTATGTGGATGATAGGAAAGGCCTTCCTGATGCATCTGTTTATGATGTACATCCGTTGTTAATGCTACTCTATGGTTTTTCTGGTAAGGTTGATGATTAAGTCCATTCTAAGATGTATGTTGCTGGTTTGACTGATACTGACCAATAGTGCTTTGTGCCGGACTATATTGAACAGTGTTGATTTGAGGTGATAAAAATGCATCATGAGGTTGACGATAGGTAACAAGGTAGGGTTTATTAGTGGAGTACCATTCAGAGAAAGACCATCGTTGATGCTTTTTTCTCTATTAAAAGACGCTTCCCTAGGTCTTTCCAACCATTCTCTTTCATCACTTGCTTGCCTAGACCCACTTTTAATTTCATTGCTCTCCACAACAATGCTGGATTTATGGATAGATTAATCACAAGCATCAGTAAGCTTTCTTTTAAGCTTATGGTCAAATTTAATTGTAGTTACTACAGCAGCACAGTTTACACTATAGAGAGCTTCTAAGGTTAACATGGGTTGTAAACCTACCATAACTGCTTCATCATCTTTATTCCCAAATATAGGAATTACTTTATTTGGGTCCAATAGTGCCCAATATACCTGCTTTGGGATCCTTTGCATGTCATCCTCTTTCACAACTAGTAAGCTGAGTGCAGCATGTCCTAAGCCCACCTGTGGTGCAGTAGCAGAAAAAAAGGTTCAAGTGTGGTTGAACCCCGAGAATCTAACTCATAGGCTGATGATGCTCCTGCGGAGCTATATGTGGATGATAGGAAGAGCCTTCCTGATGCATCAGTTGTTGTTGCATGTAGTCTCCGACATAGTTTTCGTAATACTGTCACTGATATGGTTGTTGATACCATTGCTCTCTAGTCATCATTATAGAAGCTACAGCATGACCCTGAACTCTGGCTTGGGAGGTGGCCATCACAACACTAGCCTGAGTGGTTTCTGTAGCAGTATAAGCGCCCTGAAAACCATTTATTACAAAGGCTTATATAGATATGAACAATAAACAAGCATTTATACATTTTTGACATTTATATAGGTAACAAACTCACAAGACAAACTTGAATAATAAACATGCATTTATATTTACTAGATAAGTTAACACATTTCAGAGATGAAAAATGATGTGTTAAAAATATAATGGAATTTAGCTCGGTAATCAGATTTTAAGATTACTACATAAGCTTACAAATTTTATAGATAACAAAAACACAATTGGTGCAATTAAAATCTAATGGAATTTAGCTAGCCAACCAGATTTTATAATTACTAGATAAGTTTAAAAATTTCACTGATGACAAAATATATATAACTAACCTAGATAAATTCATGTATTTTTTTAATTTATTCTTTCTATTTTTTAAATTCAATTACGAATGAGAATTTTACGTTAACATTTTTAAATAAGCATTTACAAATTTTAGATTAATGATAAGTAATTGAAAATATTAGCACAAGTTTAAAATATTTTATAATTTTATAAACTTAATTATTAATGAATTGTAGTTATTTGTTTAGAAAATGATGTATTTACAAAGTAGATAGTTTAGAGTCCTTTTATAAGTTTCAACATTTTCTAAGTTTTTGTTAACAACTCTAGTAATTTTGATAGAATGTCAGGTAATTATAAAAAAAACATCACATTACTATGACTCAAATGGTCAACTGAAATACATCTATACTATTAAAAATGAAGACACTCTTGAAAAATCGACTGATGTAAGTTGTCTGCAGTCTCATTAATGGCATTTTGATAATTTATGTTTTGGTCTTACATCTATATATACATATATATATTGATTGTTACAAATCATATCACATATTAACTATACTCGATTTATTCTTTCTCTTTCCATTAATTACTCTAACCATATTCCATACTATATTTCATACATTTATATTGTGTTAGAGACCTTATATTACACAATTTGAATCTATAGATTTCCAACATTATAATTTTTTTGTTGACATTTTTTGGTATATGCATCATATATCAATGATATTATGCTATATTTCATATATTAAAATTTTCATATAGTTGTACTACACCTTATATTTCAAAAACTATACTTTATAAACCATATTACTCTAACCATGATACGGTGCTATATTTCATATATTAAGATTTTCATATAGTTGTACTACACCTTATATTTCAAAAAAGATATGATATAAACTCATACTACACTGGCCTACACTTTGTAGCCAGTGTAGGTGATTATAGACCTTATATTACACGATTTCAATATATAGATTTCCAACATTATAATTTTTTGGTTGACATTTTTTGGTATATGCATCATATATCGATGATATGATGCTATATTTCATATATAAATATTTTCATATAGTTGTATTACACCTAATATTTCAAATACTATACTTTATAAACCCATATTATTCTAATCATGATATGATGATATATTCATATATTAAGATTTGCATATAGTTGTACTACATCTTATATTTCAAAGAATATATGATATAAACTCATACTACACTTTATATTACATATATTAAGATTATGTTATAGTTGTAGACATTTGTTAATGTATTATATAATATATTGTCTATACCGATATTTTCATGAGTTTTGCATACTATATAAAACATGTTTTAATGTCTTACTACTTCTATCATTTATTTCACACTTCAAAACCATTTCAAAAAAAAAAAAGGAGAATCCATTCAAATGTCCTTCATTTCATGTTCTCCATTACAAGACATTTGAGAATGGAGAATCCATCCAAATGTCTTTCATTTCATGTTTTTTCTTCATATGTCGATATATCATCATTCTCGTGGTGACATTTAATAGACGAGATACGTTTTTTTAAGAAAATATTGCAAAAACTATTTTCTATAATTATCTTCCTACCAAAATAAATAAATTACTTCATCTACAAGTTTATAGATTAACCACAATTAATATCATGGTTAGTTATTCTTTGGTTGGATCCCATAAATTTCGGTAACTTACCGTAGTTGAATTACCATTAACTGTTAAACTTTAAACTTCCTAAGTAATTCAAAATATCTTCAAGAAATATTTCATTCCTCGAAAGATATATTTTGTAAAATCTTCTAAATATTCTGCCATACATTTGCGTAACTTAAATGTATATCTTCCCTACATAATATAAATATAGCCTCTCTTAACCACTACATTCATCATTCCTTGAAAAACCTAAAAAAAAAATGGTGAATAATTTGCAGTTGTCTTTCTTGAGCGATATAAAACCGAGGAAGACTGCATGTCGCATCCAAGTCAAACTCCTTCATACATGGAGACATTTCATGAATGACATAGGGGAGACCATGGAACTAATCTTTTGTGATGCAAATGTAAGTTTATCGTTTTATATAGATTTGTGATTTAGATATCTTCATTTCGTAAAAGTTTAACCTAAATGATAATTTTTTTGTTTATATAGGGAAATAAGATCCATGCCTCGTGTAACAAGACATACATTCTTGAATTGACAAAACATATTCGTGTTGGAGTATGGAGGAACATTGATTGTTTCATTGTGTCTACCGCTGGGGGAGCATACATATTAACTCAGCATAAGTATCGCATAGCTTTTAATAGCACCACCAAAATCTCCGATTCTACACACCGTGATGACAAGAAAGTATCACATATACAAAACCATAGAAAGTATCACATATACAAACTTCCTTATTGGTCAGTTTTCTCCCATTTGTATAAATTATCTTCATTGTTGGTGTATCTATCTAACATGAGTATATTTTTATCT